CTCATCTACGTTTTCACATCTTCACCTCTGCACATCTACATTCTCACCTATGTCTTTGCTCATCTTCACATCTACATTAAACATCTGCACATCTACATCTCGGCTCATCTTCACATCCTGACATCTACATCTCTGCTCATCTTCATCTTCGCATATCTACATCTCTGCTCATGTTCACATCTGCACATCTACATCTCTGCTCATCTTCACATCCTCACATCATCTCTGCTCATCTTCACATCCTCACATCTACATCTCACAGCTGCATCTCTCGCTCTTCTTTACTTTCTCTCTTAAGGCCGGGGGCGGTGCCGCCGGAGAACCACGAAACGCAACCCTCTGCGGAGATCGTGCGTGTTGAGGGCGCGAAATGCAGGCGAGAGTGCATTTTGGCCCGGTCCGGCGCAACCCTCTGTGGAGATCGTGCGTGTCGAGGGCGCGACATGCAGGCGAGAGTGCGATTTGACCCGGTCCGGCGCAACCCTCTGCGGAGATCGCGCGTGTCGAGGGCGCGAAATGCAGGCGAGAGTGCGATTTGGCCCGGTCCGGCGCTATACCCTCTGCGGAGATCATGCGTGTCGAGCGCGCGAAATGCAGGCGAGAGTGCGTTTTGGATTTGGCGCGGGCAACCCTCTGCGGAGATTGTGCGTGTCGACTTTGTAGTACAACTTTAGTACACGGAGCAATCTGTGGAGCTGATGAGAACTGGCGACTTTGTAGTACAACTTGAGTCCGCGGAGTATCTGGGGAGCTGGACGATGAGAGCTGGCGTCTTTCTAGTGCAACTTTAGTACGCGGAGTATCTGGGGAGCTGGAAGATGAGAACTGGCGACTTTGTAGTACAACTTTAGTACGCGGAGCAATCTGTGGAGCTGGAAGCTGAGAACTGGCGACTTTGCAGTACAACTTTAGTACGTGGAGTATCTGGGGAGCTGGAAGATGAGAACTGGCGATTTTCTAGTACAACTTTAGTACGCGGAGTATCTGGGGAGCTGGAAGATGAGAACTGGCGACTTTGTAGTACAACTTTAGTACGCGGATGAGTCATCTCCCGCGGCTGAGTCATCTCTCGCGGCTGCTCTGGCGCCCCTGCAGCTGAGTCATGTCTCCCGACCACCCGGCTCTCTTGAGAGGTTGACAATTTTTTGCTACTTTGCTTACTCATAAGTGGCTGCCACAAAAGAGTCATGGTGGCGTTAGTATGTGTGTACTTCACCTTCATGACAAACGAATACACGAGTCGCTTGTCATGATCGTGACGTCGTTTACTCTCAGGCAGTTCTGTTTGAACCTCTTCAGCGTTGTACTTGCGCAACTGAGGTTGACGTTGCGCTGCCGTTGCATCGACGCATCTACGTCTACACCCCCTCACCTCTCTACATTTACATCTTCACACGCTCACATCCGCAGATCTACCTCTCCACCTCACCACACCCACACGTCTGCACATCTATATCACATCTGTACATCCACACTGTCGCTCCTTCACATCTGTCCTGTTTTTCTTTCTACATATCTTTTCTCTCGTCTCTGTGCATTTACATCTTCGCACGCTCACATCCACAGATCTACCTCTCCACCTCCATACATCTACAGATCTATATCGCACCTGCGCATCCACACTGTCACTCCTTCACATCCACCCTCTCTTTCTCTCTTTCTATACATCTTTTCGACAGTGCTGGACAATTACATGTCTCGCTCTCGGGCCAACCGTCGTCTAGTTGTTGAAATCAATTGAAAGCCTGAAATCAATTGAAATCCTAGCAAAAAAGTGAAATCACACGAAAAACGAAAACACAACTAGTTTTTAAAAAATCACCAGAAAAGCAATGGGAATTCAATCCAACTATTGGGATCTCATGCCCCTGTATCTTTTTGACTCGACTTGGGTCGGGGTGAGTCGGGCGGGTCGGGGGCGGGTCGGGGAGGTCAGGGAGGGCTCGGGGTAGTTTTTCAATTTTCCAAGTTTTTGGGTGAACATTTTCGTAAAACAAGCGAATATTTTGATTTGTTTTTATAGATTTTTCTAAATTTTGATTTTCTGCAAGAAAATTCATCAAATTTGTGCAAATTTCATTGAGTTCTATCAAATTTCATTAGAATTCATCAAATTTCATTGGAATTCAACGAATTCAATCAATTTTTCATCGTTTCCAGAGTTGAGAGGACAGCTGCCCCAAAAGCGCACAAAGGTGACAATTCCCAGGTCAGAATTCTTGAAGTACTTCAGGTTGCCTGGGCATGGCCTGCCTGTCTTACGCGCAGAGCTCCAGCGGCCTGCCTACAAGTCTGACAAGCTGGCGAAGAGTGACGCTGAGGATGAGCTTGCTGCCGTGTCAGATGTAGATAAAGGCATTGAGGCCCGAGGCGCCTAAGCCAGAGGCCGCTGCCAAAGCCAAAGCCCAGGAAACTGACAAAGCCCAATGAAATTGGGGAAACTGACTAGGCAGAGCACAACGACAAGGACCAAAAAGTAGAGACCACAAGGGCCACAAGCCCAGAAGAGCCAGTGGCAGCAATGGGCGCTGCCACCATTGACTCCAAAGCTGAGGCTGAAGCAAAGGACACCAGCAATGGCGAGAGTGGCCAAAGGTGGCGAAAATGACAAAAATACAAAACCCACTAAAGCAGCGGTGAGCTCAACTGCCGTGGAGGCGCGTGTGGGAGAGCCCAAGTCCTCCCAATATTCCTGCGGCCATCCCTGTGCCTGAGGTAGCAGCAGCAAGAACAGCCACAATTCACCGGAAACCCGGAGACGCGCCAAACCAAAGCGGGAATACAGATCCGCCAAAAACCGCGCCAAAAGAATCACACACAAAGGCTGACAAAGAAGATGGGAAAGGCGTGCCGCAGACAAGAAAAGCGCAAAGTGATGCGGAGGAGCAAAAGCCAAAGCGGATCCCAAATCAAAAGCCCAAGACAAGGCAGGTTCCAAAGGGAGCAAAAATTGATCTGGCTTTACCGTACCCAAATGGTTTTGGGACAGTTTTTGTTTTGCGGGGAGTTCCGCAGTGTTGTCAAGCGGGCAGATCCGCGTAGAGCGGGTTGCACCGCGCAAAGCGCAAGTTTCTTGTAGGTAGCAGAGTACATCTTAAGACTACCTGCGCACAACGTTCGCCAGTTCAGCTGAACAAGCGCCATCAATGGGGCGGGAAACCTGGCTTAGAAAAGTACTGCCTGAGACATGGCGAAACAAACAGTTTCAGACGAACAGAGCCAGCTTTCAGGGAGAAGGGGTGCTGCTGCGACTTACAAACACCAACGTCCGCTACCACATCCGCCATCAGCTTCGAGACGGTTGGGCGCGGGAGATCTTCTGCCGGCGAGCTGTTGAAGCTGGTGCCGCCGTGTCTGATGGCTTGCGCAAGGGTGTCTTGAATGCGTCCATTGAGACGCTGATTGCAACCAATTGGGCTTGGTACGAGCCACTGATGTTTGCAAGGCGGGGCTGCTACCTCTGCTTTATGTTCTATAATGGCACGTTCACCCACTCTTCTCCTTGCTTTCAATGGGCCCCTGCTCCCTCTCTGTTTCGTAGTGATAGCGCCGCAGTTTGTGTCATGTCATTAGCCACGTGCCCTTGATGCCAGGCGCCGGGCACAGATGGAAGCTGCAGGAGACAGGCAGGATATCCTGGCTATTGACGGGAACTGCAAGCTCCACAGACGCACGTGTGGAATGCCTTTTGCAGAAGTGATCGCTTCCCCGTACTTGAACAAACTTTTGCTGCGAGGCTGCAGCGCAATGCCCCATGGTCGAGACACTCTTTGCTGCAAGCGTGCAGGTGACAGGGACCGCCCACAACAGCCAAGGGCAGAGCAAGTGGGGAGACATCGGCTCAAGAGAGCGCTTCACAGTCAGGGAGATGTGTGTCACCTGGAAATCCAAACGCAAGGCCACGGTGGCTGGCAGCCGGCGTGCGCAGTCAAAGAGGAGGCCTTGGCCAAGTACTTTGCCTCCCAAGCTGACAGAAACATCAGGAGAAGAAGGGAGCGGAGAGTTGAGGCTCGCAGTCAGAAGTGGGCAGGATTTCGGCCGCGCCGGGCAAGAACTTTTTTAGCCCCTTGGCATTCGATTCAACCTCGGCAGACTAGCACCTGCAGCACCCACAAGGAATCGGCCAAGGATGTCCATGCGGCAAGCAAGGACTGCTGGATTTTTGTTTGCTGTCACAGAGTCTGGCCTCCTGCTGGACGTGATGGAGCTTATCGGAGCTGAGTCCCTCTCGCAGCGTTACCACTTCACTGCGCAATGTGCGCACAGACTGCCTTCGTTGAGATGCATCGTTCACGATGACAGCTGCCACCTGAAAGCCATGTGCCTGCGGCAGCGTGAGGGTTCTCCGCTCGCAGAAAGATTGGCCAACTTTGACTTTATCATTGATGAGTTTCACGCCAGTGGGCGTATACTGGCGGGTGGTGCAAGGAGGTTTGCCCCCCAAGCCTGCAGCAGAACGAGGACATTTTGAGTGGCTTCCCAACAGAAATAGCTGAAACGGTGAACTCACAATTCAGTCCTTTGGGCCACTGTTTCCACCACTACGGGCCTTGGTTTTCTCAGTTGGCCCTGCAAGAGCTAGCAGATGTCCACAACCTTGTCCGACTTCAAGCGCTGCAGGACAAGATGCGGGGCGCAGATAAGAAGCGCAGGCGAGCAAGTGCAGCTGAGGCTGCTGGTAGGTGAAGTATGTTTGCATTTTGGCGCTGGCGGGAAAAGACTACAGTGCGCTTTGTCTTCTTTCATGCTGTTTCATGTAGCAGACAGGATCATGGCTGGCGTTTACGCTCCTCGAGCTTCAAAAAAAGGCTGTGTTGATATGTTGATTCATGCGGCTGGCATAGATCCTTGCTCTTTGTTCATGTCGCAGCGCTCCCGGGTTCTGGGCAAACAGGAGAGCAAACGCACACACACTCACACAGTATGATATTTGTTCTGAATGTGCGCGTAAACTGATAGCGCTTCAGTCCTACACTGTCATTTCACAGGGGCACCCAACCATGCCGACGCACAGCCCGGAAGAGCTGAGTCACAAGGCAGTGGATGCTTTGTGGAGGGCTGCTTTAGATGTGGTGAAGGACAACTTCAATGCTGCAGAACATCTCCCCAAGAAAGTTTACGAGTTTCTTCTGCCCATCGCTGCCTCCACTTGCCAAGGAATGTTTTCCACCGTGATGATGTTTGCGGGGGCAATGCCTGCCTTGTCGAATGGCGCCAGCGTGCGTCTTTGGAGCCAAAAACCAAGTCCCTTGATGTTGCTGGTCCTGCACATGGCGCCCCCTCAACGAGGAAAATCTCGCTTGTTCCAAGCTGTTGAACTCCTTTTTGAAACTGCTGATGACTTTGTGGCAAAGCTCGCCAAAAAGGCAGCAGATGAGCTCGCCACCAATCTGGCGCCTCCACTAGAAGGTTATCAACCGCCGTCAGAGATGCAAGTCAGCACCAAGTCAATTTCGTTGCAGAGCTTCACGATGACGGAGTTCTTCTACAGGTGCTCCGTGGAGTTCCCGCAAGTGGAGATTGGCGGGAAAAAGGAAAAGACAACTTCCAGGTTGTGGTACGGGCAAGCGTTCAACCTAGACGAGTGCTACGAGTTCCTAGACAACATAGGGCTGCTGGGTTCCCGCCATGACCGAGACAAAACGTCTGGCGCCCAGAACATCCACCTCCTACGAGAGCTCACGGGCTCAGCACATTGCCTTGTCACTCCTTGGCAATGGCCATCCAGCAAAGCTCATCAGCATGGAGCGGGGCCTGGAAGGTGGACACACTGCAGCTACAAGGGAAAGGTTTCTCTTTGCTGTGGATGTGTCTGCGGCAAGGCACGATAAAGTGCCCAAAGACCTTTTGGAAACAAACGGTGATGTACCAGCCTGGACCTGGTTGCCTTTGACCCCGCTGCAAGCGACCATCTTCCGGTGGACTAGCTTGCTGAACAACCCCAAGCATTTTGAAGGGGTCGAGAAGCCAGAGGACGATTCAGAAGATGAAGGCTACCCTGCTGTGTTGCCAGACGGGGTGAGGTCGAGAGTTCGTTACATCGAAGAAGCCGATTCTAGAGGCTCCTCGGCTCACGTTGCATTTTTTCTTTTCATGTGAGCAAAGAGACAACAGCTTTGCCTCCAGCTACATTGAATCAAGCGTTTTCCGGTCAGCTGCGCACCCTACCGGTGCGGGGTGGGGTTGTTTCCTTCATGTTGCTTGTGTGCCGCAGCCACAGCTGAGGTGAGACGGTGGTGGTGCGGACTGAGTGGCGGATTAGTGGGCGGTGGCTTGTCAAGGACCAGACAGAACACATCTGCGCTGGAGCGCGCAGGGTCTGTGAGCACTTCGAGAAGCGGCCGCGTTCAGTTTTGACTATCCGAGATGAAGCGCAGAAACTGTTGCTGGGAGCCTTGACTGCATATTTGCCTGGGAGCTTTGGACTTTCTTTTTTGTTGTGATTCGCGCGCTTGCGCGCCGGCGCGCCGGTTTTTCTCACAGACACGCAGGAAACCAAGTGGCGCAATCCATCCGTGCGTCTGGCAAGGAGAGCACACCGTTGGAGGCCTTGCACGCAAACGCTGCTCACATGCAAGGCATGCTGAGCGCAAGTGTCGCCATCTTGGAGTTGGCTGGTGGTGGGGGCACCTTTGACACCGATGGAAATTTGGAAATTACTGAGGACCATGTGCAGGCACCCTGTCTGCAGGGACACTGGCTGTAGGGTTGAGGAAGATAACTTCTAGAACGTTCAGTCCTGTTTGCTAAGCAAACTATAGAGTTGCTCCCCTTGACAAGTGGCTGCGCGGCTTGTCGAGCTCAGCGTTCAAGTCCGGGAAGTGTTGCAGGGCCCATTGGATCCTGCCACAGCTGCCAGCTCGGACGAGTCCGACAATGAACCTTTCCAGCCCGTGCAAGTGCCTTGCCCCCCAACAATCTTTCGCTGCTCCTGCGCCTACGCAACCACCTCCTGCTCATCTTCCAGGTGAACGCCAGGGGCCACGTGGAGACGCGCAAGCGGTTGCTGTAGCAGCGTTGGAAAACATCGAAGAGCACACGCCTGTGCCAGTGCCTCTTGGGCCTTTCCCAGAAGCCGAATGTCATGAGGAGGTGGGGCCGACATGAACGCTGTGCCATGCACAACGTTTTTCGCTTGCCTCAGTCCAATGTTCTTGCCAAAATCCCGCAAGCGTGTGAACATGTTCTTCTTTGGTGTCTTGCCCGCTCGAGGTGCTTCCCCATGAGATTGTCCCACTGAAGCTGTCCGACTTGGACCCGAAGGACATTTTCTTCCAGAAAGGCTTGGGCGACAACGGCTCGATGCTCCTCTCCTCCCAGGATGGCATTCTCAAAGACCGCGAGCTTGTCCAGAAACTGCTGCTGTTGGGGCGCAGCGAGATAAAAATGTCCAAGGTGGTTGACTCGTACCATGTGGTGCAGCAAGTCCAGGGCAAGCGACGGAAAGCCCGGCCCAGTCAGGGGAATGTTCTTCAGATATTTCAAAAGAATTTGCTTGTTCATTTCTTTTCTTTGGTCACTGTGGCTTTCTGTGGCCTACATATGCCCTAACTATCCCTAACTTGCTTGCACTTGTTCTCCCAGTCGCAAGGCTTTGCAAGTCTTGACAAAAGCTTTTGAGCATTTTTGAGCTATTTCCACGTCTTGGTTACATTTTGCAGCCCGCTGGAGGAAGAGCGGGTGACACTATGGTGGTCTTCCGTGCTTGGTCTTCTAACACAGGCAACCAGACTCAATACCACAACGAAGCCATGAGGTGCTGCAGGCTCAGAACCCGGGACATCTCAAAGCGGCGGGCTTTGTGGAATGACCGCTTTGGTGGAGAGCAGAAGCCTCCTGCAAATTCTGGCGCTGAAGAGACGCCGAATGCTTCCGCGAGGGCTCCTTCGCCCCGTGCATCTTCTGATGTGAGGGCACCTATGCCTTCCACGCCGCCGACTGGCCGATAGCGCACGATGATTGACTCGAAACATTATAGCTGCAAAAAAGGTAAATGGGCCGCTGGCTGAGGGACCCGGTCGGCCGGTCGACCGACCACTTATCTGTACATGGCTTGCGCAGGCCGCGCGCACATACACGAGCCAAGCGTGTTATGTATAGTTGGTTTCTGCTTGCGCCTGAGTTTGAAGCCCCACCTTCTATCAGCAAGCTGCCCAGGACGCAATCAATCATCATGCAGGAGCAGAGATAGGCCGGGGGTCCGGGGTATGAATCAGGTGGCCACCGCCTAGTCCATCCACCATGCGGCAAGAAGGAATGTGAAATCACCCTTGAATTCAATGCAAAAGCGCTTACCACGGGGTTGGCTGACACCACACATGGATCATTCCGCCCGCCGGCCACCGGCAGTACCCGCCCATCCATGGATCTTCCCAGCGACCGGCCACCGGCCAACGACCACCGGCCACCGGCCAACGGCCACCGGCCAACGGCCACCGGCCAACGGCCACCGGCCACCAGCGTGCACCGCCACGGCCACGGCCACCGGCCACCGGCCACCGGCCAGCCAACGACCCACCGGCCACCGGCCAGCGGCCACCGGCCACCAGCGTGCACCGCCACGGCCACCGGCCACCGGCCAGCGGCCAGCGGCCACGGCCACCGGCCACACCGATAAATCGACTATCGCCGCCCCCGCCGTCCTGGCTGACCTCACGCAGGACGCGCGCTTGCTCCAGTGTACATAGTTCCCGGACCGGCTCCCCGTCTCACCTCGTCGCCGCTGCTCTGGAAGAGACATCTACGGCTTTTGACTCCCTGCCACCCTAAATCCAAGTGGCCCGGCACTTGGTCGGCGGAAGCTGTGAGTGAGACTCCGGAACCCCCCCATCTGACCTTCATGCGGGCGAGAAAATCAAATCTAAACAGGAAAAGAAAATAAACACTTTCTTCCAGGCCACAAGTTTGAATGCCCAAGGTCTCTCAGTGCATAGCACACGTATAGGCAGAGAAACAAAATGCAGAAAATGAAACTTGGCCAAGACTGCTCATTCTGCATCTCTCGCTCAAGAACCCTGTAGCCATTCAACGCACAGCTTGCACCTGCAGGATCTGAACTGTACGAAGGACTCAAGGCGCTCATTGCCAGCACTACGCGTAAGATCTGTTTTGAAACAGTGTGTGAAAAACCCAACTCGCGAATATTTCGAATTTGCTTGGAAAATGTTTCTCTGGGTTGAACTTTGTCAAAAACATCGTTTCCAACACGCTCATCGCAAGACATGTCGTAGACTCCGCACAAGTACATCAACATGCGCATCCTATCTCTATGTAATCTCTTTGTTCCAAGCTCTGCCACGTTCCAGCGTGTGGCAATGGTGCTCAAAAGGACTTCACCTGCTTTTACTTTTGTTTGTGCCCACAAACACCGAGTGGACAAATGTCGAACCTTTCCTACTCCTTGGCGACGCATGATTTGACGCGCAGCTGTGTTGTCCATGAAGTGTTTCAGTTTCAAATCACCTAGTTCACAACGAAACAAAAAACAAAGGCACTGCTTGATCAGGATCGCGTCGCATGTGGCGGAAACGCCACTATACAGTTCAGCCTCCGCTGAGCTTAAAGCTATGGTCCGTTGTTTGCGACTCGAAGAATGAATCAAGCAACCATGGAAAAACAAAGTTGATGCACCACCGATTTTTTAGTACCTTTGTGCGATGCCCAATCGCTGTCAGAGTACACCTCTAAAACAAGCTCAGAACCAGTATGGTGGAAAACGCCTTCATGGGGTTTGAAGGGAAGTTGAATACCTTGATCAACGCAACCTAAAAGGCATTGAACAAGGTGTCGAAGGAAAAGCATGTTCAGCTCACTAGGTTTGTTCATGTGTTGCGCTAACAGGCGGATCACATGTTGGCATTCCACAAAGTCAACAGAAATATACAGGAAAATACCGACTGCAGAACGAGAGCTCTTTGCTGAGGCGGCGTCCAACGCCGCAGACTCATCTGCTTCTTCCAACATTGCATGTCCAAGGACGTTCTTAGGTTTTACCTGTAGCAGCTCAAACAAACGGTTCAAATGTTTGGGATGATTCTGTATCAGAATTTCGGTTTCTGACTGCAAAATGTGGTTCTTCTTCAAAAAACACAGTTCATCACCAACATTCCTCATAACCTCAATAGCCACTTTGTAGTGGCCCTCAAACACTGGCATCAACTTGTCTGACAGAAACTTTTCGTGCACAAAACACAAAATGTCCTCGCGGTCAAGAATTGCGGTGATGCTCTCATACCAGAGTTGTCTCCCATCGCGTTGACCAGAGGGGACTTTACCCAGCACAAATTGTTCTGATGTGCCTGCTGGGGTTGAACAAGTTACAACAGTGGGTATTTTCTGCTCAACGGTCAGGAAAGCATTTGCCACATCTATTGCCGCTAGAACAAACCCTTGCAAACGAAGCTTCAAAAACACGATTGGCAACAAACGAGTGGTCAGTGAACTTGACGCAGGCGAAATCAAATCTTCACGCTCTGGAGTCAGCCAAGCATACTCACGTGCCACATAGCGCGAACGACGCAACCACACATGCACACCATTCCTCTTTTTATCCCTCCATGCTCTGACAAAACGAGTGGTCAGAGCCTTTGGGGTCACTGAGGTATCGAACTCAAAAAGAGGCAGAAGCACTCCAAGACCTTTCAGACGTGCCATTTCAACCTTGCCTGCCAGTGCGTCCCATGCCAAGAGGGAAGGTTCATCAAGCTCGGGCTCCAACGGAGTATATGGCACACACAACTGGTCCAAGGCTGCTTCAACCTTGCTCGACGAGAGCACTTCCTTTTCTGCATCAGCTAGCACTTCGACATTTTCTTGCAATTCATATTCGTACTCTTCCAAAAGTTCAGTTTCTTCATTTTCAAACTCAAAGGAAACTACTTCGTCCTCATGCTCTAGAACATTTCGAACTTGGAACAGCCGTGGTGCTTTGCTTGGGGGCACGCGCGGCGCTTTGCTAGGAGGTTCTGTTTCCAAGACTGAAGCGTCGCGCTCACGTGTTCCTGAAGAAGCTCAAGGCACTATGACTGCAGAAGCTGGTGGAGGCATCATTCGAGGCACCATGACAGCAGAAGCTGGTGGAGGCATCATAGGCGGTCGCTGCCCCGCCTGAGCCGGCATTTCTACATCAGGGGCTTCAGGTCGAGGCACGTCATCAGGAACAACAAGTGGTGGTGTCACGGGTGCACCTTTTGGAACTGGGTATCCTGCTGGGTTTCCCGGCGCAGGACCTGGCGGGGACTATCTGGAGTTAGAGGAACATTCATGACAGCCTCAGCATCTAGATCGCGTGGCGGTGGCCGACCGGGGTCCCTCACACTGATGGCAGGAAAAGGAGTTGGAGGAACAATTCTTTTGGCCAGAACAAGTTGAGCACCCAAACGCCAATAATATGGACATCGTTGTTCAAGGTCTTGCTTAGCCAAATGCCCTTGCACCACCTTGGACTTCCCTTTACCTGGGGCTTCAAAAACCCAAGGACTGTTTCACCGTACATGCAAATGCGACCTGTGTACATGCGGTCACAGCATCGCTCATAAGACGTTTGGCCTTGTTGAACTGCGAAACGATTTCTCGTCCAGCCTGCATGCAAAAGAGATGCTGGCAGCTCACCGTGTTGGGAATTCCAAGACTTTGTTCAACCTGGCGCGAGTCTCGAGAAGAGTCGCGTAGTGGTCACTCAGTTGTTTCTTTTGACTTTGGGTTCTCTGGAGGGCTCGAGTCAGATGCTGATCGCAAACTCTGTGGCTTGCATATTCATGACAAATTTACCGGTGCCATGCACTGTGTTCCCACTGATGCCAAAGGAGGTCGTCGTCTGAATTACTTGTGTACGCTGAACCTGTGCCTCCAGGTAGTATCAAATGGCGCTGCAGAAACCACATCTTGCCTGCTACGTGCCCCAACGCAGAATTCGCACCAGGATGCAAATGGATAATGCATCAAATTATGTTCTGCAACTACTTCAGCGCTTGGCGCCTTGGGTTGAGGTTGCGCATTTGCAGAGCGTTGGGTTTCATCCTTCAAGTTGCGCTCAGCTGCACTTGCAGAAATCAGTTCTTGTGCTTGTAAGTGTTGCCACATACGCTGGAGGCAGGTCAACTTGTTTCCTCTGGTTGAGAGTCCCAGGTGCTGGCGAGCGTCACGAAGAACCGGCAAAGGACTGTTGGTGTCCATTCACAATGACTTCTCTGGGGCCCGCGCTGTCATCACGTTCGTGAGCGGGAACCTCTGCGTCACCTGGGGCAGCAGGGACGTCCGCAGGACGGGGAGGTGCACTCAAGTCAACCAAGGTCTTCTGGAGGCAAGAGTTCAGCATGGGCAATAGTGATGGCTTCCGCAATGGCTCTTGGGGCCACAATTGGAGTTGTCAAAGATTCTGGATCACTGACGCTTTCACCAAACTCGTCCAAAATCCACTCTCCGTCGATGAGCTTCACCAAGGTGGTTCGAAGCCACAAACCTTCTGCAGGACAGAGGGTCGTGTCCACATGTTGTGCTGAAAAATTCCTCAAGGCAAAAATAGTTTGGCATGTTTGGCTCACTTGGTTCCATCCTGGTAGTAATGCAGCAAGAGTTGCACCCAAGGTTAAAACCCGCACGTGAACAGCATGCTCTAAGCTAGCTGTGACTTTAGGCTCCAAGCCACTCAGATGAGTCGAACGAGGAATATCTTGGACTATCCTGATTTCCCGGCCCATACGCACAAAGCGAGTTGTTCTTGAAATGCAAAGGTATTTCACGAGAGGCCTTCTGGAGTGATAGCGAAGTGCTGTCACCTTGGCTACAGACGGTCCAGCCGTCCTTCAAAAGCCTACCCATCGAAATCAAGGGAACAGTGACATTTGCAATGACAAATCTCTCGCGAAATGCCACTGATCCAAACCGGAGCTCTGCAATCCGCACGTCATGAACCCCAATGGGCTTACCTTGTGCATCTACATACTGCGAATGCCGACTATCAACATTTGATTCACCTACGTGTGCAAACGAGGAAGGGAGCACACTTCCGTCAGCTCCTGAGTCCAGAACAATTTCAACCAGTGTACCTGGTGAAGACCAGATTGCACGAACGTGTTCGTGTGACTCGTGTGAAGAATCTGTGCAAACAGAAAAACATGGTTCTAGTCCTGTGTACGTCCATTCTAAGTCGTTGTCTGAATATGTCATGTCGAAAATTCTGCAACTCATGTATTGCGTGCTCGACTGTGGTGCGTCTTCAACATTTGTGGCCGTCATGGCCTGTGAAACTACATTGCACGATCCCTCGAACGTGTCATACACCGTCAAATCGAACACTTCGTACTCATTGAATTCGTTGTCTGCAAGCTCTTCAATGGAGAGCAAACGAACTGCCTGCGAAGATTGCGCAGCAGCGGTGGTCGAAGGTGCAGTGGTTGAAGGGGCTGAAGCCTGGGAAGCACTATCGTCTGCAGTCACTGAGTTCACACTCTTCTTACCGCCTTTGCCATGCAAAAGCCAGCAATCTCGCTTCCAGTGACCGCTCTTTCCGCAGTAAAGGCGCAAACACCGGTCGAAGATGCACTTCCAGCCTTGCCTTCCTTTCCTTTTGGAGATGGAGACTGCCAGGAACCTTTACCTTTACCTAGGAAACCCTTGCCTCCCTTTGGCTTACCACCCTTACCCTTTCCAATGGGGTCCCTATATTTTCCTTTCTTTCCTGCCTTTTGAAACAAGATCGAGTTCCATGGGGGCTGGTCCATTCGAACTCGAACTATTGCTGCCAACAATGCCAAGTTCCATGTGAATCTTTGAAGGAGCCCACGAAGCGGTTACGGACTCATAGCCGACAACAGCTCGTCTCGTCTCAGCATAAGTGCTCGTCTCCGTAAGCTGCAGTTGGATGTGTTGGCGGATGTGTCCAGGAAGACATTTCACAAGGACTGACAGCATCAAGTCATCTGGAACTTCAGCACCGCTTGAACGTCTGTATTCATCTCGAAGGCGCTCAAGCCCTAAGACCTGTTCCAGCAAAGTTCGGTCTTTCGTGAAAGGAGGGAGGTTCATCAATGCTGACCGACTCTTTGTCTTCGGCTTGTAGAGCTGGCTCAACTGGCGCCAGGCTTCAAAGCCGTTGCGCTCACTAATCTGCAGTATCATGCGAAGTGGTTTTCCTCGAAGAAGGCCATGACTGTTTTCACTTGATCGAAAAGCGCCTCAACCGGGCGGTTCAATCTCTGATCACCTATACACGATCAACTGTACATACACAATCATACACATATATGGATGCAGAAATCTCAATCAAAAATCTTACCCACCATTTTCCACAGCTTTTGACAGACTAATGGCCCTCAATTCTATAGAGCTGAATCTTTGTTTTTGGACTCTTTTCCTATGTTATCCTCAATTTTATAGGGTCAAAAAGTGACCATGATTTGAGGGGGGGTTGGTCCCAGCATTTTAGCGCTATAAAATCGCTACCCCCGGGGTACCCACATAATTCCAACCCCGATGTTGAAATTTCCTCTACAGAAAGGGGTAGCTTGAGGCCCTTACAAGGTTCTTTTGTAACAAGGCACTTTTTTTACAGGTGCATAACCCAATTTTGTAGAGTTATAGTATAACTCTGTGAACAGTTATGATGAAATAATCCAGGTGATTGATTTAAAAAACAGGAGGAGGCCAGGGTACCCTTTTTGTACAGGGCAAACATAAAGGAAAAAGAGGGGGTCAGGGTACCCTTTCTGTACACTTTTGAGTGTTATTGTCGTTTCGTGAGTGTTCGTTTCCATAGAAGTTTTTTTCAACATCTTCTACAAAATGTGGTGGTCTGCAGGGATCTTTACAACATGATGTTGTGCGCCCTTGTAGCTGCAAACCTTCCCTTGCACGCTGCCAGTTGTAGCTGCGCTACTTACTTCATTTTACATCCACAGTCTCGGAAATTGGGGTTCAGAGAAATGTGGAATCTTAGATACGATGACGATAAATGACGAGAGACTCCGAGAGACTGCAGCAGGTACAGCGTGAATACTGGTCGTGTGTCCTTTGCCCGTCATAATCCAAGGAGCAAAGTTCTAGAGTTCCCAGAGTTCGATGTTCATTCCCAGAGTTCGATTTTTGTTGATGTCGGGAAGAACATCAACAACTGCGTGCGGGAAAGGCTCATCGGCACGGAGCAGTACAGTCTTTGGGCTGCAGAAGCCAAGTTCCGAGCAGAGAAACTTCGTTGCTTTTCGCTTCAATGGAGCTGGATACCCAAAAAGTGCTGCGCTGTTGGCAATTTGCAGTTGGTTTGTTTATGTTTTTGCTTTGAGGACTGTGCGCCCGGTATTGTTAGAGAAGGTGCTTTTGGGATGTGGCAAGGCTGGGATGCTGGGTTGAGGGTGATCACATCACCAGTGTTGCCATTATTGTAATATATTGGATTTCTGTGTTTGGTCAGGCAGTGCGTCGCAGTTGCTTGTTGGGCTGCCGCGCCACCATCCTGATTAGTTGTGTTCCCCAACAGTCATCAGCCTTAGAAAAATAGTAAAGACACCGGACCTTCGCTCCGTGTGGACTTGTGCCATCGGGTGTTTTGGTTTTCGTTCCCACATCTCCGCGGGGGATATGTGTGTGTGTTTTGATGGACTTTGGTGCCCGAGCTGCCTGTTAGTGTTGGACACGCGGGGTGCCCGTCCCTGTGAAGAATGATGTGCCGGTGGTCCGGTGACGATGGTGGACCGCACCGCACAAAACCAGTTTTCCTGTGTCGGCTTTCATCTCGTTTTCATTGAGCCTGCCACGGAGCTCGTGGCCGGCCGCGCTTCGGCTGCGAACTAAAAGGAAAAGAGGCAAGGAGGCCTGCCATGTGTTTCCGCAGCGGCCGGCGATTGTTTTGCACAGCGGCGCGAATGACACGACAAGGTGCCGTTTGCTTGGCAACCTTCAGGACAAAGTTTTTCGCTTCACAATACACACGAGTATTTTGCTTGGATGGAATGTGCAAAGGCTTGAAACGCTCGTTTTGAATCATTGATTGCATGTTCGTCATTTTTGCGTGTTGGCCTGGTTCGCAGCCGCAGTTGTTAATGGAGTGTGTATTGTAATCATGTGACATGTGTGGTTGTGGTGCTTGGTCAGGCTTGGTTATTGAGGTATGTTCACGATGCGGACAATCGAAGCGAAAACGGCAAAGAAAGCAAAGGCGGGCGAACCATTTCTACCGTTGCAACCTTCGCATTCGCGGGCAGTTTTGATGAAACAGTTTGGACGGGAACCGGCCGGCTGCCCAGCCCCAAGCGAAGACGGTTTCGCCGGCATGTTGGGGACACGGTTTCTCTACAGCAACATCTGCCACGAGCAGCCCGGCAATACCAATTGGCATGTGTTACGTGTATGTTGTGACATGTGTTACGTGTTGTCACAACATACCACTGGCAGTGAAACATGAGACATATGCATGGCATTGCGACGCATCATTATTTTGGCGGTGGCCGGCTGTTTTCCCACTGTTTCCCACATGCAACAATCTGAATCGGTCCGGCCGCAGCCGTGCTCTTCATGAGTTGCTGTGGTTGGGCCTGGCAACGGAACAGCATGGTTGTAAAAGTGGTGTGCCCTACTGAAATGACACGCGGCCCCTACGGACATGCCATGTGTTCACCATGCGCATTTTTCAATCATTGGGCCCCCAGCCGGGGCAACATGCAGCGTTTTTGTCCACTCACTAGCTTGTTGTACAGCGCAGCGGCCGACAGCACAGATGGGCAGCAGGACGTTAACCAAACAAAATGATCAATGGAAGGTTGTGAACTTTGGCAAGTAGGACATGCAGGACACCTGGTGTGGCCACCGTTTTGTTCATGCTTGTGGCATTGCAACGGTGCAGGCCAACAAATACTTGGACTTTGTTTGGCGTTGGAAAAGGGCGGTTAGTGTGAATGCACCATTGTCAGGCCGCCTCTTTTATTTAGTTTTCGTCCGCCCATTGTACGCCTTGCTGCGCAACCTTGGACAGGTCGGGGTGCCAAAGATTAACCACATGAACTAAATATGTCGGACGGTGTTTTCGCTGCACAGGGCCCGATGCACGCCGAGCAGCTCACATACCTTTGGCCAAAGCAGCCAAACAAACTGAGGAGGCTTGCTTGCAATTGAGCGCATGTCATGGTGACAGCCGGTCAGACAGCCGCATATACGGTGCAATGGTTGAAAAACGCATTCAAGTTCTGATGCTGGAAGGCCGTTATAGATCCAACTGCGTACCGGGAAAATCGGATCAGGCAATTGAAAGAGGTTGGCTGCCGCTTGAACTTAGTGCCATAGAAAAAGGTGATGATGCAGTTTATCCGTGTAATGTTTCAGTTGTGCAGTTCAACAAAAATGTGTACATTTTGGCGAGGTTGTTGAAATCAGGTGTTGGTTGTTTCAGCTGGCCGATGTTTGGCGTGCAAACCTACTGTTGCCAGGCTGGTGTTGAAGCATATCCCCATGTTTGGGGTGTCAACGCATCGCTGGCAAACCTTATAGCTGAATATTCTAGCCTTGAAGATGGCGCCCGTATAGACGAGGCGTGGCGATGAACCAGCAGCACTGCAGTATCAGAGTGCGGTTGGGCAGGTGGAAGTGCGAATTGCTGGGCGAGTGAAGAGCTTGCGTTCATCCGGCGCAAAACTCAAGTTCTACGACCTGGCAGAGGGCGAAGACAGAATTCAGGCAAGATGCGCATCCGTGGGGCTGAATGTTCTGCATGCGCTGGGCTGCGAGTGGGTGCAGTTTTTGTTCTGGCAAGTGCGGTCATCCTTCTTTCATTTATTGCCAAATGTTTTTGACATTTGTTTTTATAAGTGTGATGGCGATGTGCCCTCTCATCAGTGCTTTGCTGGCCGCACTTTTGGCCAGGTGATGTGCAGTCCACAAATGCATGAAGGAGATGACTTCAAAGAGGTGCATGCTAGCATCCACCGCGGGGCTCCATGGCAGAAAACCGTGTCCGGGACATTCCCATTTCTGTTGCAGGGGAAAAAGTAAGATGGAAATTGCAGTTTCTTCCGAATTTGTTGTGTTTTCACAGTCCACACCCCAGCTTATCTCCGTATACTGTATATACAATATATAACTGCAGGAGTGGGGTAGTGGCTCACCTGTCAGGATTGAACCCGGGTCGGGCGCATGAGGGATGCGTCACAGCCACCAGACCATATCGGCCCTGTTCTTCCGAATCTTTGGCCCAGGACATCATTGGTGTCCGTGGCGTTGTTGGCAAATCGAAGCGAGGAGAACTTTCAGTGTTCCCTCGAGAAGTAAAGTTACTGTCGCCCTGCCTGCACATGCTGCCAAAAGAATACTCAGGCACTTTGCACACCCTTGCGAGAGGGGGGGAATCCTCATGTCACATGAACACGTGCAAGCACTGCAGTTGCACTTGTATCGCAAATATGGATAGTACGTATTGAATAGTATACATTTCTTGGCCAAAATGCAGGACTTTGAAATATAGGATTTTCTATATAGTTTTGAAATCGATCCCACCACTGGCAGGCCTCAAAGACCAAGAGACCAGATACCGAAAACGTGCCATGGGCCGCGCTTCATGGGGAGAAAGGGTGCTTGATTTGTGTGCATGAAGTTTTTGACATACGGTTAGTGCAACACACGTGCTTTGCAGCTTGCGCACGTGCATGTGATTGCCCGACAGATCCCGTACATGCAGAGTGCAACAACAGCGCACGTGACAGGCTGCAGCAACTGCATCAACAAAAGCCAGGCCTTCTTCCAATTATAAATAGCTTTGCTGGCAGGGATGGGAACTTGCGCTTGGAGGGCGTGCTGACAGAGACATACACTTGGATGTTGAAACTGAATGCAACAGTTGGTGCAGAAGACTCGGTTGAAGGACTGTGGACATGGCTAGGAAGTAAAGTAAAGGGCAGCGCATGGGCGATGGCCAAACTGGGAGCATTGATTGAATCATCGAAGAAGTGGACATCAGCATGCACCAGAACTTGATTGAACTCCCAGAGCTCAAAACATGCCCATGCAGGTTCCAACAAAGACTGGCACCGGAACGAAAACGCTGGTGAACCCTTGTGAATCTTGCCACTCTCCTGTGGCCAGCAATGATGGGCTGAAATCGAGAATCCATACACGGATGCGCACTGATTGTCATTCCAAAAACTGGGAAAAGACACTCAACTGATTGACGACTCCACCAACCTGAATGCAACTCAATTATGTATATACACATGAATATCTCAGCCCGTGTAGCAGCACTCTTGTGGGGCACTCTTTTAGAACTTTCCTTGGTGCTGCTTTTGGAGGACAGCTTAACTTGTGGGACGCTCGTGTAGGACACTTGTGTTTAACTCTGTCGCATGACATTCTTGCAGGATGCGCTCCTCTATATCACAGGGAACTTGAGTGTCTTCAAGTTGGTGGTCTCCAGAGTGCTCACTACCCCTCCCCGTTCTCATTTTTGTTTCCTTGACGTCTAACGCCATCCTTGCAGTAGCGCTACACACATTTCATTTCCTCACTCTCTCTCTCTCTCTCTGTCTCTATATGTTTAATCAAATTTCAGAGCCCATTGCCTTCACCCAATGGCGGATAATGGCGGTGGAAACCTGTTTTGAATGCAATGCTCCAAAGCCATTGCTTCACAGACTTGTGGGGCCTGATTCCTGATGTGTTGCAGTCGCAGGAGGAGACCTGAGAATGAATGAAGTGTTCCCTGCGTACATGATCTTCGTCTCGCCCCGCAGACGCATTTGCATGTGCCCACGTGCATGCCCAAATCCAACTGCGTACTTTGTATATAATTGGGTGCCATGGGCTACCTGAGAGACAGGCCACTAAAGTGCGGAGGAACTTGCTTCCTCGAATGCCACCATCGGGGAAAAAGGTTGGATGCCAGTTGATACGCTTCCCCGCCAGCTTGCCTGTTGGGAAAATGCTTGTGAGGATATCTTGATTTGATGGTCAACGAAGATGTGAGGAAAACATTTCGGCTACGATCTGCGGTAACAAATTTCATCCGACGCTACCTCCAGGCGGCTGATGCTTTAGCGGGCTTCGTTGTTCAGGGTCATTCTGAGTCATTTGCTTTTGCCAGGAAAGGGGCTTCCTGGAAGTGGAAACTCCCATGATGCACCTTGGCTATTTGTTGTCTCCTCGGCCATTATATTATATATATATGTATTTATTTTATATAAATATATATTATATTCTATTTTGAACTATATAATATATACTTATTTTTGAAAGGACTGGCGACCTTTCCTCAAAGTCCAAACCCGGTCACCCTAGCACCGCCGAGCGTTCCTCTTTGACTGGGGCACAAGTCAAGATGCCATCGCGACCCCGTTGCGTCCACCTGTACTCAAGCCTATACAGGGGTTCAAAGCAGTCAAATACGAGAAACACATCGATCAAAATTTCTGCTGCTTTGAGCCGGGATTCAAAGGTCATAATAGCGAGCGGGGATACCTCGATCTCCTACTCACAGGGTTCGGTTTTGTTTGTGGTTCTCCTGTCCTGATAAAGGTTCTCACCAAGTGTGAGGATTGGTGTGGTAGGTCGTGACCATAACGGCATGCTCTTCTGGCGTTGTGGCATAGTATCCATTGCTCATCGTCATCTCTGGTTTGAAGTAATCATTCGACCATGTCATCAACACCAGGTTCACATTCGTTCCTGGTTGATTTGAGGGATGTTTGGATCCGGCCTCCCACAGCTGCCCTTGCCTTTTCATGGACAATTCCGACTGAAGTGGCCAACTTGTGGAAGCAACGCACCCAGCTTTCAAGCTTCTTAAAGTCCCGACCCGAGGTGCCAGCTGATCCAAATCCTTTTGCTAGCTTGGTTTGATTGATGCCCACCCTGGCTTGCTTCCAGGTAAGGAGGACACCTACAGCATCCTGTTCTTCCAGTTCAATGTCCGGGGCGTACCCTGCCTCCGCAAGGTAGACCTCGAAGGCATCTTCCAGAATGTCTTCATTTTCAACGTGGTAGGGTCCCTCTTTGTCCCGCCGCCTGGAACAAGGTATGATTGTCGGGCCGCTGCCATCACCACAGCTTTGCGTTCGGCTTCAAGTCGTTCAAACCTGAGTAACAGGCAACCCCTGGCGACCTCCGGAAGGACTACTCCGTCCGCTTTTGAAACAGCGAAGGCTGCCCGGTGTAGATGGCCGTGCTCTCGCCCTTCTCTATCTTCAGGTCAAAGATCTGATCCAGCACCTTCCCAAGACGGTCATGGGTGGCCTCTGTTGGGCACCGTTCATCCAACACCTGAAAGATCACCTCGTCACCGCCGTCCTCCTTGATCTTGGCCATCGGAGTAGCATCGAGTGCCCGGAGTACCGTCGGGGAGTGCAAACACCAGGCTTCCATGCGCTTCCAATGAAACTCCCTTGACCTTTTGCATGGTCAAGTAGGCCCTGCACCAGCGCCGCGACCGCTCATAGTCATAGTCCTTGGACGGGTTGGTGCCCTCGCCATCGAACCGCTTGGTCAGCCCCTCCTTTTTTCCGTCTGATGCCATTTGTCCCTCGCAGCAGCCCCTGTCCAGGGGCTCCGTGAAAGGACTGGTGGCCTTTCCGCAAAGTCCAAGCCCGGTTGCCCTCGAGTCAAGATGCCATCGCGACCCCGTTGCGTCCACCTGTACTCACTATACAGGGGTTCAAAGCTTTCGATAATGAGAAAGATACACACATATAATATATATATATAGTCATAATACTATCATACGTGTGTGGGCAGCCAACATGAGGAAATCGATGAACTTGCTGCTGAGGAATACAATTGCAGGCGGGGCTTCTGCCAAGCCTTTCATCACCAAACACAATGAATTAGATATGGACCTGCAACTTGGCCAAGTCGAATCAGTTCTAACAAAACTTGAACTTTGTTCCAATTTCCAATAACTATAGCTGAGGTATATGCGAATTGCACCGGAGCTTTACTTGAAGATGAACCTTGAATGAAATCGATTCAATCTTCCCTTGAACTTCTCCAAACGACAGTTTGTTTTGGCATTAGCAATTCAAGCATTGCAGGTTGAAGGCGAGTGTTGCTGTTTATGTCGCGGTTCCGTGTTCTTTTCTTTGTCCGACTCGCAGCGCCATCAGTGAAATCACAGGCTAGTCATCGGTGGTCTTGACCGCGTGTTTGAGATCGGCCGCAACTTTCGCAATGAGGGCATCGATCTGACTCACAACCCAGAGTTCCTTGACAGGTTTGGTTTGGGTGTGAAGCTGCCGGGTGCGCGGTATGACCTACACAATGTTTTGAGCTCCGAGATTATTTTGAATATGCACTTTTGTAGTCATCGCAGGTGCCGCGCACGGATGTGGCAGGTTGGTTGAGCTTTTTGTTGGATTTCGGTTCTGAAACCTCTCATGAACTGTCAAGTTTCACCGGAGTGGTGAGGTTTACAACGTGCGAATTTTACATGGCATACGCAGACTATGAGCAGATGATGAACATCACGGAGGAGAATTGGCTTTGGGACATGTGTTTCATGCCCACAGGCCTTAATGGCCGAAATGTTACTGTTACTGTGTGAGTTATGAGGAACTGATAAGCAGTATGGTCTTGGACCTCACTGGCGGCTATGTGTGGCTTGATCAGCACAATCCTGCTCACAGTTGAGATGGTTACAGTATGTTACAGTGGCAGTGGCAGCGGCGTTGCAAGTGGTGGAGGAGGTTCACCTGCTGTGGGAATTGGGCCAGGAGCTAAGGATCCAGTATCATCCTCATGGACCCGACAAGGATGCAGCCACTTGTCTCGGTTGAAGTTGTTGGAATCCTTTGTTTTTTTGTGGAAATCGGCTGTATAAATGACTTTCCGTAGCTGGTGGATCAGTGAAGTCAAAGTTGTGGATCCAGTGTCGTTGCTTTGCAGGTCGAAATCGACTTCACGCCTCCTTGGCCACGAGTCTCCATGGTCGAAGAGACCTCTAGCAGCACGAAGTAAGTTTATGTTCCAGCTTTCCAACATGATAACATGCAAGACTGCGATGTTGTTTGGATTGCTTGGTGGCCCCTGGCTATATTCTCACAATCTAAATTTGGATGTGTGTGTGTACGCCCTGGGGTCATGGGCAATGCAAGAGTTTGCAGGGGGCGCAGGTGTGTTGATGAGTCCTGCGCCAACGAAGATGCTCATAAAGATTCGTGGAAATGTGCCTGGTGAACACAGCGTTTCCGCTTTGGTTCCATGGTGGTCCATGCGGATAAACCATATTGTTGCCGACTTGAGGCCTTTCCATGTCTAGATGGCCCTGGTTCAATTACTCAGGAAGTTTTTCATTTAGGCGAATTCAGGGCATAAGCATTCATGTGTACGCACGCAAAGCCTGTGCCATTCTTCTGCGCCCAGGTTGTGCCATAGATCAGCTACAGCATCCCTCGTTTGGCCAAAGTCTGCCCAATTGGGGATGTTCCCCTTGATTACTTCCATGAAGGCCTTCAACAAGATCCAGCAGCCAGTGACCCAAGCACGTACCTCAGTTGGCTCAATGGCCACCCTTCTTCAGTAGCCCTTCACACCGAAAGGAGTCACTTCCTTCACGAGTGGTGATCTTTGGCATTTGAATGATCCCCCTGGCCCACAATTGCAAGGAAGTTCCAGCATCAATTTGCAGCTTCCATTCCGGTGGGAGGTCCTCATCTTTCCCCTCAAAGAACTTGCACCTCCAAATCAAATGGACAGATGTCAAAGGCTCATCACAGTGGGCATCTCACTTGTTGACCTTGAGTATGGGTTCGAAGGGACCCTTTTGTCCACGCTTTGAGGGCCGTTTGCTCTCCCTGGGCCATGGTCTTCAGACACTGCTTGTAGATGGACCAGTCCAGCTGACCAGAGATCTCATCACAGAAGAGCTGTTGGTGGATCTTGTTCACCCTCTGCAAGCGCATCTCACGTTTCAAAGCTCTGGACAGCACCGGCCAGGCATGTTTCAGATAGAGCACTGCAGAGGGGAGCACTTGATTGCTGGGCCTTGTCCATTCATACATGTCTTGGCAGTCCCATCCCAAGTCACGGAAATAGGCTTGGAGTGCAGCCATAGGACCCGCCACCACTTGCCAGTGGTGCACTGCTGTGGAAAGCCTCCTCCAAGTGGCTGTCCATGCCTGCACCAGCAGGTTGTGGAAGGCATGTAGCTCAGGATCAACAAGGTCTTCATGTTGGTCACGCAGGGCATCAAGCGATCCCGCATGCTGGAGCCCTGCACATCTGGCCAGTTGCAGTCTGAGCTGCTTCAGTTGCTGAGGTGCCAATCCTTGTGCTTCATTGCCGTAGGCCACCGCACTATGCACCGAGCCCTTCCACAGACGAGCTTTCACCGGCCGGCTTGACAGTTTGAGCTGGAGCATCTTGTTGAAGCGTGTCTTGCCCTTGAGACTTCTCTTCTGGACTGTCCCAACACGACGGCGTTTGGCCCCCACTGCTGTTTAAGCCCAAATCCTTCATCAGATCTTCCACATGAGGGTGATCGTCCATGCGGCGCTGCAGGATGCACCTTCTGACCTGACCTCAGCTGTCGATGCAAAATAGCCATAGCCAGTCTTGTTGACACTAACGTCCTAGCCAGCCCTCTCCAACAGCCATTCAATGTGTTCTCCTGCAACACGGGCCGCCTCATCTTGCAGGAGTCGCACCCCTGTGTAGCGCTCCATGACCATATTATGGACTTCATGACCACCGAAGGGAATTGAAGAGCCCCCCCACTGGTCAAGCAAGGCCTCCAGGTCCACGTTGTCGTAGAAGTTCTGGAGACCCAGCAGGAGAGACACCGTATGCTGGCCAGTGGATCTGCCCACTTCCGGGCCACTTCCGCCCTGAGCAACCTCATGAGGGCCACTTGGATTACGCAGGATTTCAGCCCACCTCACGTTGAACCACGCCCTGTAGAGCACCGAAGTGAAGGAAATCCAGCGTTCCACCGCAGGCTTCTTTGTCAGCAGGATGGCCAAGGTCGTCTTGACCTGCTCGGGGAGCACACCATCCAACTCCCATTTTCTCATCATCTTGGTGAGCTCCTCAATTGCTTCATAGGGCAGGCTGCGCGGCATGGCATAGGAGGATCCATCAGGGGCTCCTGCTTTCTGTGGACACTTTTGGAGCTTCTCCCACACCATATGCAGATCTATGTCAGCTTGCGCACGAGCTTCAAACGTTAGAGCCTTAGGTGCTCCCTTCTCGAGCCACTGACAGGCTGTGTGGTGGTGACCCACTTGTTGAACCACTGTTCCTCTCGTTTTCTTTGCCGGTCCTGCGGCTGTCACGGAAGAGTCTCTCGAAGCTGACGTCCTGATACAGCAAGGTGCGATAGAGGCCTTTGAGACCCTTGCCCTTTCTTTGCCTGCGTCAGCCAGTCCAAGTGCCATGAGCAGCTCTATCCGCCATTAGGGCCGGTACAAAAGTGGCAAAATCTGCATCAATCCTTAATGCAATTTCACAGTGCCCCCAATTTTCATGTGATGGATAGGGTTGACATTCTCCATCAACATACGGCTGCGAGCCTTGAAACCATACTCGATTGACAAAATCAAACAGTTCGACATGCCTCCCCTGTACAAAGCTTGCTCATGCCGCATGCCATTGTTCCCAATCCTGACACCTAGCCTTTCCCCAGGCCGCAGGAATGACATCACTCGTTCTCCAAACACTGAAACACTCCCAAGTGTTTGAGCTCTACCCATCTGAATGAGGACCGCTCCACCTTTTTGCCCAAGCATGGTCCGTCTGTGTAATGTTACCCCTGCTTAGGGGCCTCTCCGAGCATCTTACGTCGCGTCATCATGGTCTCAGCCAGATGGTGCTCCAGTTCCTTTTGCTGGCCAGTATTGTGCACGATCCCTGCTTGGCCAAGGGCTTTCAGCACATGCGCAGCCGTGTTGGTATCCAAGACTGTCTCAATGGTGGGAGCTTGGGAACCTCTTCTTCCTTCAAGATCTTGGCGTACTCAGCTGACTGCTCTCCCAACTGTTTATTGCCTCCTGCACTTGTTTGATCTCCTCCAGCAGCAGCTTGCACTGATCCTTGGTGTCAATTCTCCTCTGCAGAGACTGCTGGTTGTTGGTGGAGAGTTGGCGTAGTTCTCCAACTGTGGCCTTGAGTTGACCAGTCAGGTCATCGAAGCCCAGGTTTGGCGGAGTCATCAGGCCCTCCACAGCGTCCTTCACCTCGTTGGGTAGATCGGAGGATCTCCTCCAACGGTTCGAGCTCAGGTTCTGGAGTGAAGTCCAGCCCAACTGCCTTCAAAGCATCTTGGACATTTTTGCTCAACTTCTTCGGCATTTGTTGCACCTGATTTGAACTGCCTTGGCGCAAGGGGAGGCCAGGTGGTAGCTCCATCAACTGTCCACGCTCCTTCCTGGTCCGCGTCCTCTTCCTCGGTGACTTGAGTGGCCTGCTCCAGTTCCTTGATGCACTGCCTTGATCACATGGGCATCGGGCGCCACACTTGTCACATCCCACATGGGAAATGCGGTCCTGCCAGATCCATGATGATGTACACCCAGTACACACGAGGTGGGACCTGGAGCTTCGAACCTGAACCTTGTTGAAGCCATCCCATCGAACCTTGTTGAAGCCATCCCATGCCTCTGAAACCATGGAGCACCACCAGGTCAAAGGTGCGGCGAAAATAACTAGCAAAGGTACGGCCGCCGGTCTCAATGTCCTGGATGATGAGATCTCCACAATCTTCAGGTGCACGATAACTAGCAGAGTGCCAGTCACTGGAAGAAGTCAGTCTCAAGCACTGCAAAATACTGCAAAGCTTGAGCCAAAATCTTGAGCCATTTCTCTCTCTCTCTCTCTCTCTCGCCCCCCCCATCCCTATTCCTATCCCTATCCATGCGCAGTTCCGTGACTTTCTCCCCTTCCTCATGTGTATATGTGTATAGTTACATAACTGTTGCAGGGAATCACAGGAAACGGTCAAATTCTTGCATCCAATGGTCGGGAGATGCTAGCGGCCAATACTGTTGTGTGGTTCATTGGTTGGCGATTCTCGGAAAACTGAAAACCCTGCATCAGGATAGAGAAGCAGACTGGCAAAGCTCTGCCACGGAGTTTTGAAGCGGACTCTGCTCGTGAGGCGAGGATTGCAAGGGGTGTTGATGTTGGCGTGTATGGAACATTGTCATCGCTTGATTCCCTTTTTTTTGGTGAAGGTGCTGGACGATCTGGTGAAATCTCTGAAGCTTGAGTGCCCTCCTCCAAGGACTGCTCCTCGCCTTCTGGACAAGCTGCTTGGCGAGGTCTTTGATAAATCAGGTTCTGAAGTGGTTCGGTGCGAAGCAAGTGAATGGTTCTAACTGGAAGCTCGATATTCTTTGCAGTTTTTGCAGCTTCAGGCTTTGCGGGCATTTCATTGAAGACCGCATTGTGAACCCTACCTTCATCACTGAGCATCCTCAGGTCCGCTTGCTTGTTGTGCGGCTTTTCTCCACACTTCGAGCGGTTGTGAAGTTGCTTGGGCAGCACCTGCAATGCAGGATGCTGGGTGGATCTTCCGCATGTTGAATATTGAAATTCGATCAGTGAGATAATAAAGCCAGAACTGTGGACTGACCATAGCCTTTCATGAAGTTGCAGCGACACTAACTCACTAAGACCTCTGTCTAGGAGATTCCGCAGCTAGAAATTGCAGGTGATGAGCCCACTGGCCAAATGGCACCGCAGCAAGGAAGGCCTCACAGAGCGCTTCGAGATGTTCGTGATGGGCAAGGCAGGCTTGGGATTTGTTGGCCCGTACATGTGTCAGGCACTGTGGACAGCTCGGAATAACATGTTTTCAGATTATTTGTGGCACATTTGATGCCAAAGAACACTTTCAGACTTTATGACTACATGGCGCATTTGTTGGTGGCCCGGTGGCCATTTTTGTTGTATGTTTTGAAGACTCTCGGGCAGTGTTTGATGGACTTTTCGAGTTGGACAGGAACTTTGCAATGCATACACAGAGCTTAATGACCCGGAGAAGCAGCTGGCATGTTTCCAGGCCTGAAGACATGCCCATGGATGCAGTTGAAGCAAGGTGAACGAATGAACTTTGCAGGAGCAAGCGTTGGCCAAGAGCCAAGGCGATGAGGCGCCGCATGCTGATGCAGACAAGCTGTGCGAGTGAAGTGGGTCCGAGCACGCTGACTATTCATGACTATTCCTGGCTTATACAATTCTCTCAGGGCCAGCCTTGTGTGAACATGTTCCAATTGAAGGCTTCCTGTTTGTGAGCTTTGTGAGAAAGGCTGAAAAGACCCTCATGTACGGCCGAAGTCACAATCTTTGTGGGGCACATTCACGTCCACCGAACAAGTGGGCCGATTTTGTTTTTACAATATGTACTGTAGTAGCCACCAGTGAGCATGATTCAAAACGATGAGCCGCTCAGTGTTCACCCACATCCCCAAAAAATAAGTTCCGCAGGAAGCGCAGACTGTGGATGAAGGCTTTGTCACCGCTTTGGAGCATGGGCTGCCACCAACTGGTGGCTGTGGCTGCGGCATCGACCGCTTAGCCCACTGGCTGCAAAGTGACCTCATTGAGGGTTCCGAGACCTTGACTTTAGGGCACCAGTCTTTGCAGAGATGCATGGGATCTTGAGTCTCCTGTGGGAGACCCCTCAGCTGGCATGTTGCCCCAATTTGGAGACCCTGTTTGAAGATTGGGCCGTGCTTTGCGCTGGATGAATGTTTCATCGCCTACACGCCTGCTGTGTAGGTGATGCTCTTGGCGGACAAGAACAACATCAAAGAAGTAATCCTTTTTCCAGCCATGAAACCTCAACCGATCGATTGATACTCCTGTGGAACAAGTCTGTGCATCCCGCGGAAAAAATATTCCTTGACACTATGTACACAAAGAACATCAAAGAACAATATCATTGAACACGCAACGCAATATGATGATTATATAATTATTCTTAAATCATTTCCCATAAATTTATGTTTAAATTATATATGTTTAATAATTTCTTTCTTCGCTTTCGACCGCATTAATATATATTATATATATATATTATAAAAATATTTCTATCTTCGTCTTCGACGATAATTATATTATTTAAGATTTAAAAACCTTTATCGTCGTTTTCGATAATAAATATACTTTAACTATCCTTATATTGATATTCGACGATTATTATATATTAGAAATCTTTATATTTTTTTTTCGATGATTTTTATTATCGTGTTCGACGATAATAAAAATTTATATAAATTCTTCTAAATTATCGATTAATTTACATTATTAAAAGAAAACATTAATAAGAAATATAATTTATAATAAATTAAATTTAATTTGCGAATTTGCATTTTAATTATTGTTATTTTAATATTTATTTATATAAATTACGGTTATAATATATAAAGATTACTTTAGTAAAAAGGGATAGGTTTATATATAAAATCCTGCAAAATAATAAGGTTTACCTCAAAACCCCTAACGTTGTATATGGTCATAAATATACGATGAATTTAAAACACTATAAAACGATAAGGTCTACCTCAAAATCGATGACATCTATTTTTTAGTTGAAGAAGAATAAGGAATTTTGATCGTGCTTCGTATATATTTAACTTGAATTTAAATATTTTATTATTTTTTACTTTTATTTAAATGTTTTTAAAATATTTATTAAAGAAACAATGTATATATATTACGTATATATAATTTTATTTATTGTTATTATTTTCTAAATAATATGGATATATTGAGGGGTGGGTTTTTACGGTAGACGAAAGGAAGATATGTTTAGATCGTTATTTTGCGCGGGCGTGGTCTGCTAATTTGTTGCTGTTTATAATATATTCTCGATATTATTTAGTTGCATTTCGATTGCGTAGGCTCGCTGAATCTGGGTTTTCGTAATAGATGCATTAGGTAATTACGCTTTCGTTATGGTGCCGTACCCATTTCGGAATATGGTGGTCGCTTTTCGTGGCAGGTATAAGGAAAACCTCGTGTTTTGGTGCTTTAAAATTAACTTTTCGTAATAGGTATAAGGGATCGGAATTGTTTTATTTCGAAATGTAATTTTCGTGGCAGGTGTAGCATTTTGGATGTGGTAGGTGATCGTCGAGGAGCTTAGATTTCATGACAGGTGTAATGAATCGTGATTTTTGGACATGTGGCTCGTTTGTAGATTTCGTGGTAAGCGCAACACTTGGTGAACCTCGAAATGCAGATTTCGTGGCAAAGGCAGCACTTGGTGAAGCTCGAAGTGCAGATTTCGTGGTAAGCACAATACTTGCTGAACCTCGAAATGTAGATTTCATGGCAAGCGCAGCACTTGGTGCACCTCAAAGTTCGCAACAAGCACCGTACTTAATAAATCTCGAAATGCAAATTTTGTGGCACATAAAATGCAAATTTCGTGGCAAGTGTAACGCTTAGTAAACCTCGAAATACAGATTGCAAGCACAACATTTAATGAACCTCGAAATGCAAATTTCGTAGCAACCATCACGCCTAATACACCTCGAAATGCAGATTTCGTCGCAGGCACAATATTTTTGAATCTCGAAATACAAATTTCGTAATATACACAACATTTAATGAACCTCGAAATGCAAATTTCGTAGCAACCACCACGCCTAATATATCTCGAAATGCAGATTTCGTCGCAACCATAATACTTTATAAACCTCGAAATACAAATTTCGTAACATTTTGGTTGATTTATATTTAATATTTTATTGATTTTTAAGAATATCTTTTATAGTATTGAATATTTTTATAGTTAATTAATTTGATTTACAAATAATAAATGTATATTATTTCTATTCTAAATATATATTTTTTAACCATTAAAGACAATATATATATATATAAGTATTGTTAAATTATAATTATCATTCTATAATAATTTATGAATTTTGTAAAACGGTGCCAGCAGGCATCACCTGTGAGGACGATGCAGAAGGGTCGATGGTACCCGACTCATGGGCATGTAGTACATGATGTTGGAGTCCATGGGCAGTCAAAAAGGTGACATGACAGACTGGACATTTGTGCAAACACGCCGGCTTTCGATCCATGCTGACCTCAGCAGGTATCACCTGTGCATCGGAGTTGAACGGCGGTGGTGGCTTCGGTCGGGCGGACAAATCAGGATGGTTGACATTGGTTTGTTCCGAAAAGGCCATGGTCCAGGGACGTTTATTCACAGGCATGATCGGATAGTGCTCGGGCTGCATCGTTTATCCAGCCATGATGGTCAATTGAAAGAGCGCTCCACAAGCATGGGATTCAAATTTCTGAGTTTGAGTGCGGCGCAATGGACATGTATTTTTCCGGGAACCGAAGTTGGCCGCCCAACGAACACGGTCTTTGTGCACCGTGGAGTATTGCATCAAGTCGGGGTGTTGGTCACTATAGTGTTTGGCAATAGCTCTAGGGCCAATCTGTTGGTTGCAGTAGGCACATCTATTGGCAAGCTCAACAGTTAGATTCTGATCAAGGATAAGGCCTTGGTACGATCGATGTCGTAGGTGCATTCTGAGTTCTGGTCTTGCAGCAATCGGAATCACGGCGCCCTTGGTTGCACGGAAGCATGAACAGGAGAAGGAATTGATATGTTCACGTAATATACGCATGTTGGCAACGTGGTGATGACAATGTGAACAAGTACTGGTGCCATCATGAGCATCACGTAGACAATTAAATATATCTTCCATCAAACAGGCATATCCAGGTTGTTGTCTTAAATGACGTTTCAAGGAACCCGCCTGCTGAAAGCAACGAAGGCACTCAGGGCACTTCAATGTGCTGTCCGGTGTGACCTGCAGTTGCGGGTCGGTGGGAGGGATGAGTTCTTGATCTGGATAATCTGGGGTTAACGCACAGGCACAGATGTCATGGCTCTGGTTGGCCATATCCCCGCTCAAGGTGTTGCGACGTGAATGCAATGCCGTGTTAAGACGAGCAAATGTGTTTTGCAAAGTGATCCATGGAGGGTCAAGTCCATGTCGATGAAAGCAGTCATGGGTTGACTCGTGAGTAACGTGTATTGGCTCTCGAATCATGCGACGAAGGTGGACATTGATAACACTGATAAGTTGTTTAAAACCTTGTTGTGTGACACCCATTTCAAAAATGCTGTACTGCAGTGTTAGTAAAATGCATTGTTTGTACAGGCGAAATTTCAATGGCTTAGGAATGGTGGTGTCTGTGAACCATCGTCTTAAAACATGAAAACAATGCTGAATTGCTGCAATCCGACGTTTTGTGGTGTCCATTTCCCAGGCTCGATAACTGATCACGACACCCAAGTACGCTGTTTTGGATACAAGCGGAAGTTTCCAATCCAGATCAGGAATGGTCAATCGTGGCCCCTCTTTGGAGCGCACAGTCCATTTGCGCAAAAATGCAGGCGCGGATCGACCAATGATACGGCACAACGCCACGCTCTTCTGAACATTAATACGAAGACCGTAGGATTTCATTAAGGTCAAAACAAAAGACAGGTCCGTCAAGGCCTGGAGGCTATCCTCGTGATTTCGAATGATCCAGCGGAGATGAACATCATCCGCAAAGACAATCAAGTGTTCATGGAGCCATGTGTGGGAGTATCGTGCCAATAGGTCAACCATCAGCAAATGCATATACAGGGACCATAACAAGGGGGCTGCTTTCGAGCCCTGTTGAATGCCTCGGGTGGTGATTAAATGGCCAACCAGGTCTTTAAAAGGAATGTAGTATTGATTGGGCGCAAGCCAGGCATGAATCATGGTGAGGACGTCAGGGTGCAGGGACAATATAGCTAGGGCTCCGTCAACAACATTGCGGCTGATTGTGTCAAATGCCTTTTCCATGTCCAATGAAACCTGCAAACCACCAATCAAATTGTGACGATCCAGATTTTGTCTGGTCTGCTGGCATGCCTCACGAACAGCTCGACAGTGAGCTGAAGTCAGGAGTAAACAGTCGGCCGTACTGCGTCCAGGCAAATAGGCATACAATGGCAATTGTCTAAGTTGTGGATAAGCTGAATCCATGACCCTTTGGGTGAGAATACCTGATACCACCTTACTCACTGGGTGTTGAAGACAGATTGGCCGAAGGGCTTCAGGTCTGTTACAAGCCTTTCCTGGTTTAGCCAGGAGATGAAGCCACCCTGCGGACCAGTGTTCAGGTGGCAATGGATTCTGCCTGCAATAATGGTCATAAAGGGACTTGTACAGGATAGGAGTCAAGTCATGGGCAATGGCTTTCCAAACAATGGCAGGGAATCCGTTGGGTGCCAGGGCTTTAGTAGCCGGTAGTTTATAAAAACCATCAAGCAATTCAGACTCAGTGAATGGCAGTGCCTGCAGTGCGGGTCGATGGTGGAATCAGATCTGAATCACTAAATAAAACGCCAAAATATTCAATAATTTTCGTAAGTTCCTAGCCTGGTGGGAGTGGATGACCCTTGTCATCATAGAGTTGAGCCCTACGAAACGGACATTTGGGGCTCAATTGTCTGATTCTTCTATGCCAGTCGAATGCTTTATTTGTGAGGGCAAGGTCCACACTGTCCTAAAGGAAGGGTTCAAGTCGTTGACGCTTGTGTAGCCGGCTCATTTTCTTAATCTCGCGATGTGTGGTGGTATACTAACTGAAGTGATGCCAAAAATGGAA